GCTATCCAGCGGTGGCTGGGCCGGGGTCATCTCCTCGGCTTCTTCACCCGGATATCCGAGGCCTGGCCGGGGCTGGAACAGCTGGGGCTCCTCAGACCTTCCTCTCACTCTCCACACTCTCCACATGGTGGCCCGAGGGAGCTGGACTTCTCCGCGGGGCTGAGACACCTGCAGATGCTGTGCGGCCCATTCCACTCTGGCCCCAGAAGTAACGTGGTGTCGCTCCGCCTCATTCTGGACATCGAGGAGGCCACAGAGGCCCACCTAGCTCCAGCAGGAGGGGGCGCACTCCACCTCCTGGGGAGGGGAGTGTCAGAGAACTTGCAGACATGGAGCATCGGGGATGGCCACGCTGCGGGCGCAGCAGACTCCCAGGCTCCTTCGATTACGTCATGGGGTTTAGAGGAATGGAGAATGTAACTGGCAGTAGAAACCTACTTTAATGGGGAGGGACGCCCTACTTAGAAGAAGAACATATTTTAAATTACTAGGAAAATAAGCTAAAACTCTACGTGTGTAAGGGAAAAAGTACCCATGTAACAAATATGTCTTGTATGTGTGTGAGCCATTTTAACAGAAAACATATACTATTAATTAATTAATTAAGCATTGGTGTGCATGAGATACCAGGCTTGGAGAAGAGGAGAATTAAAGCAGGGATTCCCGGCCCTTTTACGGGACTGTCCCAGTCCCCCCAGTTACCTGCAAAATAAAGCGAATCGACCGGATTGCTCAAAGACAGTAACTGAGTCATACAGAGCCCTGAAATGCAGATAGAAGAACACAAGTAAGAGGTAAGAAGAGTCAAAAGACCAGTAACAGAAAATCAGTTCCCTGAAGATTTTGGATCATTGCATTTGACTGTACAGAGTAGCCTGCGGGGCCGGCGTTGAGAGGAAGTGGCTGAGAGGACGGGCTCTGGAGCCACGCGGCGGAGCCCTCGCCAGCTGTGTGACGGGGGCAGGTGCCTGTGCCTCTCTGAGCTCTTCCTCAGTTGCAACAGGGAGCTAATACTACTACCTGCCTCACCAGGTTGTTATGAGGATTGTCAGGAGAGGCTTAGCCCTGTGGTATGTAGGAAGCACTTGGTACATATCAGCCATTTTTCTCTACACCAATTCCCTCCTCGCCTTTGCCAGTTGCAAATACCGTGCTCAATGTGGACTGTGGGCAGCAGACCAAATAAACAGAAGGAGGAGGGCCTTTTCTTCCCCTGGGTCCTGGGTCACGTGTGCACTGGCATCTAGGTAGGAGGAGGCCTTCATGGACATCTGGGCTCCCGTCAGTCTGTGGGTTTCCACCCCCCCGCACACACACTTGTCCTTATTTCCACGTGCTTTAAAAATCAGTTCCACGTTTAAAGCATGTCAATCTACATTTCAGTTTTAGTCTCATATATTTGGAATTAGAACCTCAGAGGCCATTATGCAAATCTGTGCAAATGACATGCAAAGCAGCCCGAAGCCCCAGATTGCGGGGAGCAGAGTGAGCAGGCCAGCACAAAGGGCCTAGGGTGAAAATTTGCATCTGTTGAGGGGTTGAAGGCCTTGCACAGCTCCTGTGACAGTAGCCGCCCTTTGCATTCAGTTGTTAACCTTCTGTGCCCAGGAGGAGAGGTACACTCCTGTCTGATTTCCATACTGAAGGTGACAGTGGAGGTTGAAGGTGTCTGGGCAGCATTGTAGCAGTTTTTAGGACGCAAATGAAAAGTTGCTTTGAAATAATAGCTAAGATCCACACTGTGTCCCCAACCAGCTGTGTGTTCTCGGACAGTCACTTCACACCTCCCTGGCACCCTCTGTGAATGAGGGGATTGCATCAAGTGACCTCCAGGGCCCCTCGCACTGCGACAGCTCAGTGTCTTCCTCCAGGGTAGACCCTCTGCAGCCAGGATGGCAGCATCCGTTCATTGTACCAAAGGTGTACGCTAAAGTCCAAAGAAGAAATGGCTGAGAGGTAACAGTCCTCCTGGAGAGAAAACTAACTGGAGGGTATGCAAAGGCAAGCAGACTTCCTTCCCTGTAAGTCTGACAGCAAGAGGGTTCTAGGCACACACTCCCCGGCTGGGAGGAGGTTAGCCCCTGGAAGGCCCCCGGTGGGAAAGTCCGGGGAACATCTTTCCCTGAGTATTATAAAGACCAGGGTGCATGAACCCTCTGCTTCCCGAGTGCTGCAAAATTTCTGGAGGCGAGGGTGACGGTCCCACCGGACAGTTACTGGGGTCAGCTGGGGGCTCTCTGAAGCTCTGCTCTGCCCTTTCTGCTGCCGGACTGCTGTGTCCTTGGCCACTAGCCTCTGGTTGTATCCAACACATCTGGTGCTCCACCCCGGGGATCTCTGGGCCCTCCATTCACGCCCGCTTCGTGGCAGCCAGCGGGGCACAGGTGTAACCAGAGAGCCTCGGGTGGCCTGTCTTGGACTCGGCCACATGGGTGGTGCAGGAGCGAGGAGCTGCAGAGCCACGAGCCTCGAGGGGCAGCATGGGCCCGTAGGGTGGGAGCTGCAGGGTAAGTGCTCCTCCTACCGAGACAGTTTGAGGGGCGTCTCCTCAGCTCCTCAGAGGTCCCCAGCGAATTTGAGTTGCCTGCTCTAATCAGCTCATCGCTTGCCCTTGGATTGATTATCCCTGTTTCATTCCCCTCAGACCAGACCCCATGATCATCCCCTCAGATTACTTCCCAAAATAAACTACCTGAGCCCAAGCCCGTCTCCACCTCTCTTTTTTGGGTCTCTAGTGTAAGACACTCGGGCTGCGGTAACAGAGTCCCGCAGACTGGGGCTTATACAACGAAATGTGCTTTCTCACGGTTCTGGAGCTGGGAGCCCAGTGCTGGCGGCGTTGGCTTCTGATGAGACCTCTGTCCTTGGCTGGCCAGGCTGCCCTCCCGCCCGTGTTCTCATGGCCTTCTCTCCGCATGGGTATCCGCCTGCTGTTTCTCTGCCCTCATCTCCTCTGGTCAGGGACCAGTCAGATTGGGCCAGGGCCTCCGCCGCGACTTCACTTTATTTCCTTCACCTCTTTAAGGCCATCTGCAAACAGTCCCACTCTGAGGTACTGGGGGTTAGGGCTTCAGCATATGACTTTGGGGTACACAACTCAGTTCATAACACTTGTACTGACCCAAGGCATTCGGGAGCCATGCAGAGGCTTGTGAGGGAATGAATGTCCCTCAAAACATCAGAGGTCTCGATAGCAGTTCTTAGAGAGTCCCTTGGTTTACGCTGCAGGGAGAGCTGCCTGGCCCTGAGCAGAGACCAGAGGGCAGAGCAGAGCAGCGCAGTGTTTCTTCATCCTCCTCATCCCCCTTCGGCATCACTGGTGATGCTGAACCAGGAGAGGCATGCATTTGGGACACAGCCCTGGCTTCATATACTTCTGATACTGCGGGCTTCGTCTCCCTGAGCCTCGCCTTCCTGCCCCACTGAGTGGTTATGAGGACTAAGTTACGCATGAAGGGCTGGGCTGGAGCAGGTGCTCAGTAACCAGTTCTAGGCCTGACTTCAATACACAGAGCACACAGTTGCTGTTTGGACTGGATCACGAATGAAGGTTTAGAAAAAACATGCTGTTTAGGGCAAACTGTTGGCCCTAGAGATCATGGGTGCTGCAGCCTGTTGGAGCTACAGTCCCTCAGGCTCCCCTAGCTGCCTAATTGAGAAATGCAAGGTGAGGGGAACACTGGTCCACACCAAGACCCCACCCCACACCTGAGTCGGAGGTGGCCCCAGTGGCGATCCGGGGCCTTGTGTCAGAGGCACACAGGAGAAGCTGCCCCCTCTGCTCCCTGCGAGCTCACCAGGGCCCTGCCTTCCACTGGCAGCGGCTTTGCTGACTGCCCCAAACTCCCAGGAATGAAGCTAGGGCCAGCCTCGCCCATCAGCCCTGCGAGAATGTGGTTGGGGGAGGCTCTGAGAACACCAGACAGAGCCGGGGCCAGCAGGGCTGAAGGAGGGGCGTGGGCGGGACCAGGGGGGCTCATGTGGACAAGCAGGTGTCCACAGGTCAGAATCGGGCCACAGGGCCTTTCCTCAGCAGCTCTTCCCAAGCCATGTTGTACAGGGGTGGCCAGTTGTCCATCTGTAATCTGAATAGATCCTATGGCTCACATTTATAGGAGGTATTATAGGCACGTACTGTTGTGATTAATAAAATCCACATATATTTCTACTTGTGCATTTTCTCAATGAACTAACAGCACCCACACTGACCATTGGGCAAAACCCATGACTTTCTTTTGATGCTCAAAGGGCTCCTTCCGTTCAAACTGTGTGGGCGTGACAGCGATTTCCCGCAGAGCTGAGCTGCGTGGGCGACACAGGGAAAGCTGTTGGCACGGACCACCCACCGAGCAGCGGCCTCCTGCGCCCCCTCCAGGCCTGTGCTCAGTGCTGTTCAGGCACCAGAGCGGGCACCCTCCTCGGACCCGTCCCCTCTGCCTGTCATCCTCTAGTGGCACTGAGCCATCTCTGCCAGGCTGCAGGGCTGTTCCACGCTCACTCAGGGACAGAGACTGCCCTGTTCATCTCTGCCCTCCAGGGTCCGGGAGAGGGCAGGCCCGCCTTCTCTGTTTGTTGCAGGGGCTACAGTAACAGAGGCCTGTGGTTTGTGCCTTTGTCGAGTTCACAAATGGAAGATTGAGGAAAGTCATGGGAGCCGGTCAGCTCTGCCCACCTAAGCCTTCAAGTGACTCAGGGTGGCACCCACAGAACGGGCCTTGACCACTCCCAGCCGCAGAGGGCAGAGGGCAGAGGGCAGAGGGCTGGGCATTGCAGAGGCGCTGGGGAAAGGACGGGCCTGGCCAGTCTGGCGGGCTCTGTTCCCTGGGGCTGGGTTTTCCTCCCTGCAGTGCTCGGTGGCACCTCCCTAGCAGACCTGCCAACTCCTGTTCGTGTCTGAGGGCCAGGGCCGCAGTGTGGCCTCAGGGAGGTTCACGGGTAGGAAGGCCCGGGACTCCGCGCTGCCCCCCATGTCTCACCTCTTCTCTCTGCCTCCCCTCCAGGCTCGCTCCTGATCTCGGCCCTGACCGAAGCGCTGGTCTTCGCTGCCCAGGAACCAACTCCCAGGGAATCTCTTCAGGTCCTGCCGTCAGGCACCATGGTGACAGCACCGTTCCGCTCTACCAGACCCTCGTCCGTGGCGGCGGCCCCCACCTCCACGGTGACCCTGAGCCCCCATCCTGACGAATCCTCCTCACAGGCTGACGCCCCGATGGCCACAACGACGCCCTATCCAGATGGACACCCTCCTGCAAACACCGTCTCCACCATAATGGCGACAGCAACCACCCGCCATGCTGAGGGACCCCTGACCCCAGGGCCCCTTCCTGCTGCCCCGGCAACCACATCCTCCCCCTCAGAGGGCCGTGCCCTGGAGGAGGCTGGGCCCACCGTCCTGCTGACACAGCCAACCGCAGCCAGCAGCCGCCCCAGCACAGCGCCCCCCCGGGCGGGCACACGCAGGCCCCCCAGACCGCCGGGCTCTGCCCGAAGGGGGGCTGGGAGTTCATCGCGCCCTGTCCCGCCTGCCGTCGGCGGCCACTCGGGAAGAAGGGAGGGCCAGCGGGCCAGAAGCCCGAGCTCCACACACCTGGGCCAGAAGCAGCCCCTGGCGAAAACCTTTCCGTTCTTCAGAGGCAACTCCACCGGGTCCGTGGAGCCTGAGCCCTCCACCTTCACCCCCAGGAACCCGCCCTGGGGTTACTCCTCCTCGCCACAGACCCAAACAGTGGCCACAGTCACGGCGCCCAGCAGGACCTCGTGGGCACCGAGCACCACCCCCTTGGTGCGCACAGAAGACAAGCCAGGCCTTAGCAGAGCGGACCAGGGGGGTGGTCCTACCTTCACCAGCCCAGGAGGGGAGCCCGACGCCACTGCGGCCTCGGGTGCCCCTGCCAGTCCACACGCTGCCCCAGTGCCTTCTCAGCGCCCCCGTGGGGACCCACACGACAGCTCCAGCCACAGCGAGTCCTGGCTCACTGTCACCCCTGGAACCAACAGACCTCTGTCTGCCAGCTCTGGGGTCTTCGCGGTCGCCACGGGGCCCACCCAGGCTGCCTTCGATGCCAGTGTCTCAGCCCCTTCCGAGGGCACTCCTCAGGGAACATCCTCAACAGCATCCTCGGCCCCGCGGGCCCCAGCTCCCCACACCGGGGTCTTAGAAAGCACTGTCTCCCGGGCCGAGGAGGAGGCTGCGGCCACCCCCACCGTGACTGACAGGGTGCCCAGTCCTCTCTCCACCGTGGTGTCCACGGCCACAGGGAACTTCCTCAACCGCCTGGTCCCCGCAGGGACCTGGAAGCCTGGGACAGCAGGGAACATCTCCCATGTGGCCGAAGGGGACAAGCCCCAGCACAGAGCCACCATCTGCCTGAGCAAGATGGACATTGCCTGGGTGATCCTGGCCATCAGCGTGCCCATCTCCTCCTGCTGTGAGTGTCGCGCCCCGCCCCCACCCCATCACAGCAAGTTGCCTGTCCCAGAATCCCTTCGCCCCAGAGTGGGACAGTCCCCACCAAACGAGCTCCAAAGCTTTTCAGAATCCCAGGAAGCAAGGTGGCAGGGCAGGACCACGGGTTACCCCTGCCCTGCTCCTCAGCTGTGCCAGCCCCGGCTCCGACGCACACTGGCCGTGAATGCGGGAGCCGGGAGAACCCGCAGGTGATCCAGTTTACCCTGCACTGCAGGGAGGAACACCAAGCCCCAGAGGCGACGTGGCTCCCCCAGGACCGCAGTCAGTGAGAGGCAGGCCTGGGGTCCTCTAGCCAGTGCACTGGTCGTGACGCCACCCTGCCCTCAGGGTGGCCACCGCCTGTGGTGAGCCGGCAGCCAGGCACCTAGGTGGACCCTGGAAGATTTACAGCAGAGCCCTCCCCTTCCTCTCCTCCATCACTCCCGCCTTCCTTCCTGTCTCCTCTCCTCCCTCTCTCTCCCCAGGATAGGAGATGAGCTTTAGTCTTGGAGGAAGTTGTTAGCCTTGGCAAACACATTGTTCTTGTAGCTAAATTGAAGCTTCAGAGTTACCAGTGAATTGACCTGCCTCTCCCCCAGTTTCATGTGCTCGTGGGTGGCGTGAGCTGGGTGCAGGGTGGACCTCGTCATTGTCTTTGCCTCCACTGGCCTTGGTGGAGAAGGGCCTTCCAGGCGGCCAGCACCTCCTTGCTGCTGCCTGTCACTCCTCTGGTGAGGTGTTCTCCCTGATGTCTCCATCCAGAACCTGGTGGAACCGCTCAGGACCTGGGGCTTCCTTTATGCCTTCCCCAGGTACCTGGTCCTAGATCCTTAAGTTCCCCTCATAGCCTCACCCACCCCCACACAGTCCCATCCTCCCTCCTACCCTCCTGGGGTGAGAAGCCCCTGTGCTCCTCATTCTCTGGACGGCCCACTCTCCCCTAGCTTGTCACCCAACTCTCTTGGGGGCCTGACATTTGCCTCTTACAATTTTCACTCTGTGGTCCTAAGCCCTGCCCTCTGAAACTACACAGAACCAGACAGCCTGCCAACCCTGAGCTGTCTGAAGCGGCTCTCTCAGGTGAGTCTCCCTTCTCCGAGGGGCTGGCCCTGTGCCTGCAAGTCTTCACGGGGCTGCGCGGCCCGGCCCCACCGCCTGCCCCTCCAGCTGGCCTCCAGGTTGTCCCTGCTCCCCAGAAGGGAGAGGATGCCCCACCGCCTGCCCCTCCAGCTGGCCTCCAGGTTGTCCCTGCTCCCCAAAAGGGAGAGGATGCCCCACCGCCTGCCCCTCCAGCTGGCCTCCAGGTTGACCTGCTCCCCAGAAGGGAGAGGATGCCCCACCGCCTGCCCCTCCAGCTGGCCTCCAGGTTGACCTGCTCCCCAGAAGGGAGAGGACAGCAGCCCGCACCCCAGCATGCAGAGGAGCGCATGCGGGTCCTTTGTTCAGGCAGCGCACTGGCATCAGCTCCGTTGGTGCTGACTGACCCGTCCCACCATGGACTCACTGGGATCTCCAGAGGAGAAGCCCCAGGAACTTCCCCCCGGGGAGGCTGTGGGGCCAGGCTGTTTGGACCTCAGGGCAGGGGGTGTGTGCCTTTAACGCGAACAGGGCTTCTGCGCGGCACTGTGCTCCAGCGAGAGCTGCTCATCCCGACTGCTGCTCTCCAGGAGCCGGTGCTCCCAGCTCCCCGTCTCCTCCGTGGTGAGGAGCCACGCGGACCTTCCGTGTCCACTGCTCAGGGACCTGTTCAGGGAAATATATGTTCCCATTTCATTAGGCAGCTTTATTGTCTCTCATGGAAACACACATGTATTCTTAAAACTGTGATTGCCCACTTCTAAAACAGAAGAATGATAATGAGAAAATATTGTGCTATTAGCCAGTAAATAATTAATAATGGTCCTATTAGAGGAGTAACCACGTTAGAGACAGCTTCCTAGTTTTCCATGCTTCACGTGTTTCTGGAGGCTCCAGTTCACAAAGCGGGTTCCCATCATTATTAACCACCCGGCCTTCAAATAGACTCTCCAGAGGAATAAAAAGGTAGAAACAGGGAACACACATCACAGGGGAAGAGAAGGTGACCAGGTGAAGTGAGTGCCCAGGACCCCAGTCACACATGAGCCCACCCAGATCGGGTGGCAGAGTCTGAGTGCCCACTGTGTGCCAGGCACTGGAATCAGACGTGTGGTGTGGCCCCCGCTCCCGGAGCCCTCTCCCCACCTGGCTTCCTCTGCCCCTCCAGGCCACACCTGAGCTTTGCGATTCTAAAAAGGCTTCTCCAGCCCTTTTGCTGAGTATGAGTTTGAGATCAAATCAGCTCCTACTGCAAAGCCGGAGAACCCATGAGCTGCCTGAGCCGTGCAGAGTAACATCGGCTGAGACGAGCAAGGCCTGGACCTGCACCTGGAGAATCTCCCGCACTGACAGCCCTCAGGTGCTGGGCATGGACACACCTCTGTTTAGAGAGGACTCTTGTGGCCCCTGGGAGCCCCAGACTCCACCTCCTTTGGCGTCTGTCCTGGGTTTCTCCACTCCCCTGAGCCCTCACTCACCAAGGCTCCTGCCTCAGCCCTGGCTGCCTCCACGTACTTCTCCCTGACTCAGTCAAGGCCCCAGCTTCCGTGGGGTCATCGCTCACCTGCGAAGGCCGGAGGCGAGGAACAGTAAGGTAGAATGCGTGTCCGGCTGCAGAACACCGGGCTGTTTCAAAGCACAGATGACTGAGCACCCGGGCCGTTCTCATAGCTCCGCCCACTCTAGTCATCAGGTGAGCAGAGCTCTTCCAGGTTCAAGGGGACCCCCTGTCTCAGACCTTCCTGAAGCTCCGGCTGCCCTTCCACGAACAGCCTCCTCCTCTGCCATTGTTCCAGGCAGTGCGGGCCGCCGGGGTGGCAGCAGGGTACAAGCAGAGACGTTCTCACGTCTGGCTTTCTAGACCGGCCCTGGCCTGCTCCTCTCCACCCTCCAGAAGCCAGACTTCAGGTGGCAGGCACTGCTGGGCAGGTGGGAGCACACCTCAGGCCTGTCCACACAGGGATGTCATCGGTGCCCCTGCCCCTCCAGATGCGAGCCCCGCCCAGCGGTTGACGGGTGTGTCCCAGGACCAGGGAATGCTCTGTGCCCTGAGCCATGCCAGAGACAGTCGCACAGGCTTTCAGACGGCCGAGGCTGGAACTGACTGGATCCAGGCCTCATCTGGCTGGGGCTGGGGAGCCATGTGGCTCCTGAGCTGGTCTCTGCTGCCACCATCAGGACACACAGCGCCCAGCACCCCCTGCTGAGGCCCTGGCCTGGCGCCAGGTGGGTCCTCCCTCACCGCTGTCCGCCTCTGGGTTCTCACCGGGTCATTTTATGTCTCTGTCAGGCTCCCTGGCCTGTCCAGTGCATGCCACATTCATCCTTGAGAATGTCTTTAGCCAGCCTCCCTGGGGGGACGTGGGGCTTGATGGAAGGTGAGAGCAAGAACCGAGGCCGGCTGCACATGCTTCTCATCGCCAGTCCGGGCTGAGCCTGCCCGAGCCGGGAGCAGCCACACCTCCCGCTGGCCGGTGTGAGGGCCAGGTGCGCCTTGCCCCGGCACTCGGCTTCCTCCCCATGCATGGTGGCTGTCTCTGGGGTGTCAGTGCAGAATTCAGAGACCACATCCAGGGCAGAGACTAGAAGAGATTGGGACGAGAAGGTGTGAACTAGGTTTGTCTCCCTGGGGCTTAGGAGCCAGTTGAAGGAGGGGAGGGACAGCAGCCTAGAACAAGGCAGGGCTGTCCAGGTGTGTCACCTGTATGGACCAGGATTATGCCCAGGCTCCTTCAGCTCTTCTCTGTGCTTCCCAGCCAGCGCCCCCTGCTGGGGACCTCCTTGGGCTTCTTCGGGTATATTCACCCAGACCAGGATGGGGAGTCACTAAGTCCCTGGTCCCCCAGGTCCACGGCCTCATGTCCTGCCCGGCCTCCTTCCATACCCTAGGCCTCCCCTGGACCTCCTCCCTCAGCCTCCAAGGAGGGAAATGAGTGCCCACAGCCTGGCTCGCCCCTCGGTGCGGCACTCTCGGCCCATCTTCCTTCGAGGGCCTCAGATTTCTCTTGTACAAAATGCAGGGGCGACCCTGAAACAGGTCAGCCCTCCCTGTTCTAACATTTCCCAACCTTAGACCCGCATGGGTCACTAGAGAGGAAGCCCGTTAATTAAACACTGACTGTGTCTCAGGCACTGTGAAGGCATTTTTCATTCATGGTCTCTGACTTTTCTTACAAACCTGTGAAGTCCATAGTAATCAGCTTGAGGAAGTGACTTACCTACCATAACACGTGGCAGAGCCTGACTTGAACCCGGCTTCTTGGACTCCAAGCCAATGCTCTTTCTGTGGACAGGCTGGCTCTCGCGTGCCGGTGGGATGGCCCTGCAGAGTGTGGACAGGCTGGCTCTAGCGTGCCGGTGGGATGGCCCTGCAGAGTGTGGACAGGCTGGCTCTAGCGTGCCGGTGGGATGGCCCTGCAGAGTGTGGACAGGCTGGCTCTAGCGTGCCAGTGGGATGGCCCTGCAGAGTGTGGACAGGCTGGCTCTAGCGTGCCGCTGGGATGGCCCTGCAGAGTGTGGACAGGCTGGCTCTAGCGTGCCGCTGGGTTGGCCCTGCAGAGTGTGGACAGGCTGGCTCTAGCGTGCCGGTGGGATGGCCCTGCAGAGTGTGGACAGGCTGGCTCTAGCGTGCCGGTGGGATGGCCCTGCAGAGTGTGGACAGGCTGGCTCTAGCGTGCCAGTGGGATGGCCCTGCAGAGTGTGGACAGGCTGGCTCTAGCGTGCCGCTGGGATGGCCCTGCAGAGGCGCTGGGGAGCTCTGAGAGGCGTCAGGATGGAGCCCAAATGACATGTGAAGGAGGAAGAGCTAGGAACACTCCTCTCTGTTCCAGCCCTCGGGCTGTCCCACAACAGTGCCAGCCCTTCCCGCGGGAGCACAGCACTGGGGTGGGGGGAGGGACCAGGGACCCGTGGCTGGCCAGGTGCCCAGCGTGGCTTCACTGTGGCCTCAGCCCCTTTTTACAGCTGCTGCTCCACCAGCTTGATCCCCCCCGAGCTGTGTCGCATCCCAGCTCCAGGAGCGGGACCTGGGGACCTCGACAAGGCAGCCAGGTGCTCTGGACCGCGGTCTTCTCATCTGGGAGTAGGCAAGTGCCCAAATTAGCAGATTTTCAGGCTGAGCTCTGCAGCTGCCCCACCCCATCCCTTTCAACCAGCTGAAGAAAAGGCTCTTCGGAAGGGAGAGGAGGAGACCCCCAAAATTTGAAAAAGTCTATACCAGCCAGTCTAAAATTCCGTATAGCTCAAACACTCAGAAGTTTCCTTAATATTTTTAAAACTTCCTAAGGGAACCCAGAGGAATGGTAAGCAAGTCAGAAGTCTTTTGGTCACAGCATATTGGATGAAATGGAAGCTTGCCAGATCTCTGGACCTTGTCCGGAGGGCTCAGGTGAGGGGCCAGCTGGGAGGAGCTACAGAATCCCTCCGTCCGGGAGAATTCTCCCACCGAGCTCGGTGTGGCCCTGGCGGCTCGGGCTCTGCCAGCTTCCGCAGCCACCCCACCCCCTGGCACATGCAGGCCCCCCTGGTGCTGGACTGAGGTGGCCCTTTGCTGCCCCCTTGTGGCCACTGCCACCGTGGTGCCAGCCTCTGTGGACAGCTCAGCTCTGGCCCTCTGGCTCCAGCCCAGGTAGGCGGCACCTCCAGGATGTTGGGTGCAGCCCTGCCCACACCTGGCCTGGAGTTTCTGCCACCTTACAGGACCTGGTGATGGCGAGCCTGGGCAGGAGATGCCCAGTCTTCATTCACTGGCATCTCCCCAAGAGGGGTCCCGTCACCCTTGTCTTGCCTTACCTATTTCACTCTGTGGGCTCTCCCACCGCGGGAGCCTTCCCTGGCGGCCCCCGTCACTCTGTCCCCACCTGGTTCATCAGCAACATCCACGCGTATTCCTTCTTCCCCGGGCCCCACGAGTCTCAGATCGATCAGACAGGTCACACACAGGTCAAGCTACGTAGAGCCTGACCAGGCCCATCTGTGCGCCTCAGTCTGTGAGGCAGACTCACAGACAGCTGACAGCAGACTTTGGAGTCCAGATGTCGGGGTTTGCTCTTGGGCAAGTCACTTCACCTCTCGGCGTCTGTTTTCCTGTATGTAACATGGGGACCCCAGTAGTATTGACCCCATGGAGCTAAGTCGAGGATTGAATGAATTGATATTTATAAAATAGTGCTTGGAACCCTGCCTGGCACATGAACACGGTGTCACTGTTCGTGGCGTTTTTTAATGATGGTAACATTGATGACGGTGCCATCGCAGCTGTTTGATCGGGTCCAAGACCTCTGCCCAGCGGTTCTGCTCCGCGAGCCTCTGCCATCAAGTCTGCCTGTGGGAATCAAGGGCTCGTGGGCTCTGCCCCCTTTCTGCCACCCTCTGGCTCAGCAGTTCGGCAGAGCTGCTCAGAGCACACGCGCCACCCTCCGCCGCCGAGCTCTCACCCCACGAGTGGCGTGGCCTTGCCTGGGAGCAGACCCCAGGAGAGGCACGGCAGCGTCCACGGCTGACTGGAACTACATCCAGGCCTCTTGCCCCTCGCCCCGTGGACACAGCCTCTCAACACCGCTCGGGCCTCATCTCCTGCCTCACTCCCCCACGCTCACTCCACTCCAGCTCGCCACTCTTCTCACACACACCAAGCTCGTCCCCCCACAGGCCCTTTGCACGTGCTGCTTTCTCTACCTGGAACACACTGCCCCGTTCTGCACGGGGCTAGCTCCTCCCCCATTCTATTAGAGCTCTAAGGTCCTCAGTGACTCTAAAGCACTGTCTCCCCCAACGTACCTCTGTTGTCTCTCTGTCTTCACCCTATTTTCTTCTCTGAACAGCTGTCCCTATCTGAATTTACCTTACATGTTAATTTTGTTCATTATGTATATATTGTCTGACCCCCTCTGCACCCCTCCGTTCACACCCTAGGAGGGCAGCTTATGAAAGCAGGTCACCCTTGCCTGTCTCCTACGCCATCGCTTGGCACAAGGCACTCAGCATGTATAGGTATTTGTTAAACGGACGAACAGGCGGATTAACGGGGTAAGTGGCTGAACATACGGCCATCCCAGCTGCTCCTGGAGACACGCGCCTGCCGCGCGGGAACCGGCTCCATGCCTGTCGCCCTCCCCTCTCTCACTCGGACTCTCTCCGCAGCTGTCCTGCTGACAGTGTGCTGCCTGAGGAGGAGGAAGAAGACGGCCAACCCGGAGAACAACCTGAGCTACTGGAACAACGCCATCACCATGGACTACTTCAACAAGCACGCTGTGGAGCTACCGAGGGAGGTCCAGTCCCTGGAAACCTCCGAGGTAACGCCCCAACCAAGGGGGCCCTGCAGGTGCTGCCCTCTGCCGGGAGACTCGGCTGTGGGGCATCTGCTCGCACCCCGACGCCTGGCTCCTGGCAGCGCGGTCCAGGGACCGGCGGCCGCACCCGGGAGCCGCAGCGCTCGCCATCTGCAGTTTAGCAAGAATCCCCAGGCCTTGTGCATGTGTTAGAGTTTGGGATTCACTGTTCTTGGGACCGTGGGCTCTTAGGAAGAGGTCAGCATGTTCCCTGAGGACCCATTTTGTGGCAGGCACTCTGGGGACTGTGAAGATGAGAGCTTGCTCTCGGGCCAGATTCCGAGAGGTGGTTGGGGTATGAACCCCAAGCATCACTCAGAAACAAAGCAAACTAGGGGAGATAGACGAGCAGGCACAGAGGGCTGTGGAAACCAAGGGGAGTCTCCACCGTGGTGCCAGGAAGGCACGCGGGTTCCAGCAGGTGTTCCAGCCCAGGAAGCAGCCGAGGGAGGTGGGAGTGTGTGTGGGATGTGGCGGGAGGAAGTGTTTCCCCGGTCGCCTGGCTGGCTGGTGAGAGACTGGGCTTTGAACCCCGGGCTCTGGCTCAGAGTCTGCTGTTCCCACCGTCACAGGACGGTGGGCAGGGGCCGGGGGCAGCGGGACTGGTATGTGGGCGAGGCACAGCCTTGAAGGGGGTTGAGTGGACTTTGGTCCTTGGCAGCAGAGGGTCGTTGAAAGTTCTGAGTTTCGTGTGACCCGGTTTTAGGAACATCTGCCCCTCCCCGGCCCCTTCGCTCTCCCGCCCATCAGCCAGGCCCCGGCTAGCCAAGCCTGCTGGGGTCCTTCCCGCACCCGCCAGGCTGGGCGGGCTCTTATGCTTGTCCATCATGGCCCTGATCAGAGTTGTAATTAGGGAGCTACTGGTCTGGGATTAGTTAATCTCTCATCCCCACGACAGTAGCCGGTTGCCCCGCATTGCTAAGCCCAGGGGCCGTTCTGAGCGCTCCTCTTGGTGGACCGACCAGCAGCTTCAGCACCATCATCTCAGAAAGTTTCTTCATCGGCCTCTGGGGCCCACCCTGGGCTGGTTCTCCGCCACCTCCCTGGGCTCCTTCCCGATCCCCACCATGGGTTCCCTGTCCTTTCCCGACCTCTCGTCACCTCCCACTGCTGCTCTTCTCTCCCTGCTTCACCCCACGACTTAAGTGCCATCTCCGCCCTGTGGGCTACCCGGCTCTCTGACCTTGGCACCCCCCCGGACTCCAGCCTCATACCCAGCCACTACGCACATGTCCAGCGGGCGTCTCAAAGCCAATGTGCCCAAGACGGAACTCTTCCCGCCCACCGAAAGCTCCGGCGTCCCCCACTGAGGGCACGGCGCTGGCACCCTCTCCCCCCGCACGCCCCGCGCCCCGCGCCCAGTCTCAGCACATCCGTGGCCTCTCCCCACCCAGCACCCCTCAGCTCCCCTCGTCCCAGCTGCCACCACCCTCCCGCCATGGATCACTGCAGCACTTCCAAAATTAGGGTCCCCGCCACCACCTTGCTTCCTGCAGTCTGTCCTCCACACAGTCGCCAGATGATCTTTCCAAGGCAGGGCCTCCTGAGCCGTGGCTCCAGCCCTCAGCTGGCTCCTCTTCACACTGAGAGCAGAATCCAGATTCCTCCTACCAGGCGCCTCAGGCTGGCCTCTGCCCACCTCCTTGAGCTCCTCCCGCCAGACTTCCCACTGCTCCTGTACTGGGCCACACCGACCTGTCCGCTCCTCCCCAACACAGGAGCTCAGCCCACCTCGGAGCTTTGCCCTTGTGCCTCTGAAATGCTCTGCTCCTGGCTGCCTCCAGCCCTCACCTCCTTCAGGTCTCTGTTCCAAAGTCACCTCCTCAGGGAGGCCTTCCCTGACTGCTCTGTGCAGATTAGAAGCCAAGCCTCCACCCCGCGGTTCTCAGTTCCCTTCCCTGCTTTATTTTCCTCCAGAGCACATCTCAGCACCTGCCAGGGCGGCACTCTCTCTGTTGTCTGGTTGCTGTCTGTCTGTCTGTCTGTCCTGAGGGCAGGAACCTGGTTGTCCTCCTCACTGCTCTATCCCCAGCACCTAGAACAGTGCCCAGCACCTAGAACAGTGCCCAGCGGGCACTCGGTAAATGTCTGTCTCGTGAATGAACCACAAGTTCTGTTCACACTTTACCCATCACCCAGCCCAAAGTCCAACATGCTGTGGATGCGCGATAAAAAATGTTAACTGAAAGACAGACGGACAGGCTTCATGAAGACATTGGCCTTTGGCATGGTCAGGGCTCGTTTTTCGAAGTAAAAGTGTCCTGACAACTGTTACAGTGAGTGGGGGTGGGTAACGAGGCAGAGTGTGGGCTGCAAACCCCTGAGCTCTACATTTCCCATGTTCTCTGCGGTCGACAGATGAAAACCCGAGCTGAAGGACAGTGAGCATGCTGGAGAGAGGGCCAGCCAGCCAGTCCTTCCGGCCAGAGCACCAGGGCCGCTGGGCCACAAGCCAGAGGCTGTGGAGCAGGACCCCCGGCCCACGCGCTCAGGGTCAGGGTGCAGCAGGCGGCTCAGGGTCGCCTCAGATAGGCGCTCCGCCGATGCCCAACGCCGAAAGGAAGTTGTCTTCAGAGAAGACATTTTACCAACAAATGGCCTTCCTTTCTCTTCTGTTCTCCATTAAGCAATACATACTGCTCAGAACTTTTTTTGTAAAAATAAACTTCAGAGAATTCACTGTGGCTTCTTAAAGAGAAGACACCTAAGCAAGCCTGGCTTAGACTAGTCCCCGCAGGCCTGCGGCCGCGCCCCCACCCTGAAGTCAGCTGCAGGCTCTGTGACCCCCGGTTCAGAGTTGGCCCAAGCTGCGCCTTCTCCCCTAAACCAGCACCTGGGCTGTCCGAGGACAGCCGTCCGGTGGCCCCACGAGCTTGCAGGCCTTGGGGGTCCACAGCCCCCAGACAGCTGAGCACTGCACTGCCTGTGTCCAGGCTCTTCCACTCCTGGGCTGTGGGGACAGCTGAGGTGCTCACTCACCTGCGTGCAGTGGAGACTCAGACCCGTTCACCTCCGCGCATCCGGTGCTGCAGGAAATGGGCAGGGATTCTGGCCCGGCCCTGGGGGGCTCTGGCAGCTGGGGCAGGACAGGAGGGGTGGGCCGGTGCAGGGTGTGTCGGGGGGGGGGAAGCAGCAGGTCTCCAGATGTCTGCGAGAGAGGCAGGAAGGAGCCTGGGGCCCACGTGGACCATGGTTTGCTTATGAAGGCAGCGAGCCCTGCGGTGTGTGTGTGAAGCATGGTGAGCCCTCGTGGACGTGACAAGGAGAGCAATACCACCTCGGGGAACCTGAGGGGGTGGTGATTCGGGAACGGGAAATATTTTTTGGAAGCTGCTATAAAAACCTGAAGAGCAGACAGGGACCTGCACCTCAGCACTGGCCGGGAAAAGGATGAGAAGTGTTTACCAAGCAATCCCATGTCCCTCTGCACCCATTGCTTTAAGAACAGCCACCTCATGCCCTGGCCAGTGTGGCTCCGTGGTTAGAGTGTTGGCTCGAGCACCACCTACCAGAAGGTCACGAGTTTGATCCCGGTCAGGGGCACGTACCTGGCTTGCAGGTTCGATCCCCGACCCCAGTAGGGGTGCATGCTCCAGTTGATGTGTGTCTCTTTCTCTCTCCACGGCCCCTCAACTTCCTCCCTCCCACTCTCTAAAAATCAATGGAAAAAATATCCTCGGGTGAGGGTTAAACAAAAAAAAAAAAAGAATGACCACCTTGTGAACCCTCCCAGCTCACACTGTGTCCTCCCTCTGTCTCCCCAGGACCAGCTCTCTGAGCCCCGCTCCCCAGCCAACGGCGACTACAGAGACACGGGGATGGTCCTCGTCAACCCCTTCTGCCAGGAAACCCTGTTTGTGGGACCCGATCAGGTGTCAGAGATCTAATGCAGCAGCCCTCGCTTTGCCGCCCCCTCCCCTTTGTCTCTAAGTTATAAACATACAAATATATATTATAAATATAATCTTTGTGTAACCCCGACTTAACGAGAAACATTTTCAGCTTTTTTTTCCCCCTAAAAATTGTCAACATCTTTTTTATAAGTGTGGTTTAAAAAAACTTTACAGAAGATCCGTGGCTTTATAAAATAAAAGTATTTCTAAGCAAAGCAGTTGCACTGATTGCTTCTCTTAATAACTGTCCTTGAGCACTTGGGGGTCCCAGCAGCCTCGGCAGATGGGGGATGTCACGCGCATGGCCCTTGAGTGACTCTCACAGCTCAGGTCCCCTTGACTCCTGTGACCCTGCCGCCTGCTGCTGTGCACCCAGTGAAGGGCCACCGGGGGCAGAGGACAGCAGTCACGCCGGGAAGGGGACACGCCATCACCCCGTGGGGGTGCCCTGGAGCCTCACACTGGCACCACTGACTGTCGAGGGCGGTGCCATCTGAGCAGACGGCAGGAGCAGCAGCCCCTGGAACCCATGAAGTTTTCAGGCATCCCGAGGCCATACCCCTAACGTGGCCCAATGGGGACCTTCTGCTCTGCTCACCTGACTGCCTTTCCTGGCGAATGAAGGCTCCTCTGAGCACCCACCTCTGCGCCCAGCACTGTGCCTTCCTCTGGAGAGGGTGTCGGCGCGGACCCCGCCTCGGGCTGGAGAAGGCTGCCCTTCAAGGACCGTGTGTTCATGGGGCTCAGCTTCCGCTTTGCCCTCTCAGAAGGCCGTCGGGTTGTGTGAGAAGCCTCGACGGCCAAAGTGGTCGCGTAGGAGCAGAGTAATGGCATCCCCCCTCCGCGTTGCAGACCCACTCGGGGGTCAGCAGATGGACAGGCCACCGGCTCGCATCCCCGGTCCCCCCTGCACGGCTCCTCCATCGCGGGCCGCCCCCACCCCCGGGGCGGGGGGGGCAGAGACGGCTGCTTCCCCCTGTTTTCCCTGGTAGACAGTGGCTGGGACAGAAGAGCATTGCTTTGACACTTCTTTTATCTAAAAGAAAAATAGTTTGATAGTATATATTTTGAATATAGATGTTCTTACAGTCCGACTGGGAGTAGAATGTTGACTCACATGTTTGTGTTGTTGCTGTAGTCTTTTTACCATGACTATTTTCTTTCTTCCTACATTTCCCTTTAAAAAAATGATGGCCTTCAAAACTGTGTTCTCAATGTTGTATCGATGTACTTAACATGAGTTTGGTGGTTGTCTCTGAAGACTCTCCAACCCAGAAGAAGCAGGTGACCAGTGGCTCCGAGGTTCCCGCCTAGTGCGCTGCTGTCTGAACCTCCTCCTCACGACGCTGTCAGCTCTCACCTTGACTCTGTCGATGTGCGTGTGCACATAGGGAAAGAATCCTGTTTGTAAAGTAGAACTTATATATAACATATGTAATCAAAGATGCATATGCTATATATACATATGTGGATGTATGACTTATTTTTCCTTATCAACAGAATTCAGCTTCCATGTATATATAAATAAACTTATTTTATTAGCCAGAGCATTAAGTTGCTAATACATTCTGCATTCTTTTTATTTTAAAATTGCTTTTAAGTCTTCCTTTCGTACCGATGCCACCTAACACCCATCTGCAGTTTTAATCTACTTGAACCATAAACTGAGGTTTATGAGCATGATGAGCTGGTAGGATGAGCACTTTATTATTTGATAAGACGGATCCTTCAAAACATGTTTGCAATTTCTCCAAAAGAGAATCATTCCTCTTCAGGTCTTTGGAGACACGGTATCAGTGAGGTTACATCCCCTCCTCCACCTGCCCCTCTCCGGGCCCCGGGCCTTCCTTGTGCACATCTGGGGGTCAGAGAAAGCCAAAGGTAACCTGGCCACGAGCACCGCCACTCTGTAGAGAATAATAGTGCCTTTGCAGCCTCCGCAAACAGCTTAGCGGCTTGAACCCGTCGCTTGGCTTTGAACGAGACATCCCGGAATCCACAAGATGTAGCTGCAGCTCACCTCTTAGGATGTTGTTGTAACACAGTCTCAGGCACCACGGCCCTTCAGGGTGCAACAGAGGGGGTTCACAGCAGGAACACCAGGTCTCCGTGAACAAGGGACACCACCAGCCTTTCCTTGATCGAGCTGGCTCCTCAATCTGTTCATCTACAATCAACACTGATACTCATAAGGTGTGTTTCGTGTCATGTTAAATGACAAAGTAGAAGAGAAGAGTGGTGATGTCCAAATCAGCCAGGAAGAGCACAAAATATTCCAGTAGGCCGCCAGGGTTTTTCACTCTGCTGTGTGACCTTGGGTGAATGCCCTGCTCTCATTGCTGGGAGACAAAGTGGGTCACTGGGTTAGGAGTCAGAAGAGGCCTTCTCATCCCAGCTCTGCTACTTTCTGAACATGGGACCTGGGGTAAGTCACTGCACCTGGCAGGGTCCTCGGCACACGAGGGGATAATAGCCGGTCATAAGACGTGTGATGATATATATATTGTTTTTAATATATTGAGAGAGAGAGAGATAGAAACATCGATGAGAGAGAACATCAATTGGCAGCCTTCTGCACGCCCCCCACTGGGGATTGGGCCCACAGCCTGGGCATGTACCCTGACCAGGAATCGAACCAGCAACCTCTTGGTGCATGGGTCGACGCTCAACCACTGAGCCACACCGGCCGGGCTGTGGGATGGTTTGTCTCAGTTGTGCTGTGAGCAGCCCAAAGGGCAGTACATGCCAACCCTGCGCCGGCCTCCTGAAGTTGTGGGAACTCAATGCAGTTAACACGGAAGCCATGCCCAGCACTGGGGAGTAGTCTGCACACCCTGGAAGTGGATTCCGCTCTCCTCCCCGCACTGGAGATGTGTTCCCACGTTGCAGGTCTGGAGCAAATATCCTGCCTCTGGGTTTTGATTACTTGGCTTCTCTGGGGTAAAACTTGAGTGCAGTGGCTTTGGGTCCATTTAGTAACCCCTGGGGCTGGAGGGCCCTTTCTGAGCCTGGAGGTCTGTGCCCACATGCTTTAGTGCTTTCTGAGGACATGAGTTAAAACCAGGGGGTGTCATCGAACCCTAACTTGGAGCATCTTTAAAGAGCTTACCAGAATAACTTTTCTCTGTTTTATTAATTTTCTAGCAGATGGGCAGACAGATGTATAGGGAACAGCTAGAGTGTAATAGGTGCCCAGCATGTGTGGGACCTGAATTCGCCCAAGGTCCCTGGTCAAATACGTTAGAGAGTTAGAGCCCAGGCCAGAGAGGTGGAGCAAGGTGGCCAAGGTCACACAGCAGATGAATGACAGTTTCTCAGGAAGAAATGCTAGGAAGGGACCTGAAGCTGCCGCCAGAACTGAGGGGGGATGAAGGAAGCAACAGGCTTGGTTTGTTTCTCTTGAGACCCCAGGCTGCCTCCCGCCATGGCTACTTCACATCTGCTACCGTCTGGGCATGTGGGCACACTCACACATGTGCACACTCAGCACACGTAAGGATGTAGAGAGCCCTGAAATCGGCCCTGGGAACACCTGGATTGATTGAGTCCTGCCTGGCTCAGCCACTCACTCCACTGGTGACCTGAGCCTCAGTTTACTCATCTGTGAAATGGGGCTGCTGGATGCCCGTCTTACCCTCCCTTAGGTAGTGAAATACACAAACCCAGATGAGCCACCCCTACAGCCTGCAGGGATCCAGCCTCCGTCACCACCAGCAGAAAAATCTGGGAGGTCAGGCACATGACCCTGCAGAGAATGTGTGACCCTCTCTGCACACAGCCCTGGACAGGTTCTCTTTCAGCTCACAGTGAATGATGGAAACTCGTGGAAAACAGCAGACAAAGCAGCCCTGAGGACAGGGGAGCTTCCAGAGAGGCCCATGACCGGGCCACAGGGACACTGGGGCTGGAAACAAAAGCCACTGGACTCCAGCCCCACTAGGCACAGCACAGGCAGAAGGGGTGATGAGCTCAAGGCGAGTGGTGGTGGATGTGCCCTCTGGCGCCAGCATGCCCCTCCAGAGGCACAGGGTGTCCTTTAGGGGCACATGCTCATCAACCTCCCTGGATGGTTCCCCCACCTCCGGGACCAATGCCATGGGTGGCCTCATCCGAGCACCCAGGGTCTATGTAGGGATGGCCCCCAGTGGGTATGCAGGTGGCCTGGGTGCCCGCGTGACCCGCCGAGCTCTGGGCATCAGCAGTGTCTTTCTGCAGGGGCTGCGGAGCTCAGGCCCGGCAACAGCACCTGCCCCAGGCCTGGAGAGGGACTTGGACACCGTTGAAGACCTGGGGGGCTGTTGGGTGGAATACATGGCCAAGGTGCATGCCCTGGAGCAAGTCAGCCAGGAGCTGGAGGCACAGCTGCGCACGCACCTGGAGAGCAAGGCTGGGCGCTCGGAGAGCTGGGGCACCCTCAGGGCCGCCTGGGCCAGCAGCTGCCAGCAGGTGAGTGCCCGGCTGTGCCCAAGGGCGCTGCAGAGGGCTGGGAGGGGATGCCGACGGCTGCCTGCTGCCCGTCTCTGGGAGGTCATTCCCAGAACAAGCGTGCTGAGGCAGGGGCAGGGGGATGCGTGCGTGGTCTGCGGCCAGAGACGCTGACCATAACCCCTGCTACTTTCATACTAAATGCTAACGACAGTAAGACTCGCAAGAACATCTACCATTGACAGGGGTGCACTAGGGGCCAGGCCCAAGGGCGTCCCACGCAGTCTCCTCCAGTGTTCACAGCAGTGCTGTGCAATGGCTCGGTCACTGGTCGCATTGTTCAGAGGGGAAACTGAGGCACAAAGGAAGTTCTTTGGCCAAAATCACGCAGCAAGTAGGGGAATGGAGCTGAGATTTGAACCTGAATTTTTCTGACTCCAACGCTTCCATTTGTCCCATTACCTCGGGCCCCCTCTGTAACCTCTGTGTTAAGAAAGGGTTTTTACAGCCATCATCAAATGGAGTAACGTCGAATGGATGTAGTATTGAAAACAACAAATAAGCCCTGGCCAGTTTGGCTCAGCGGTTAGAGCGTCAGCCCACAGACCAATGAGTTGCAGGTTTGATTCCGGTCAAGGGCATGTACCTCAGCTGCAGTTCATCCCCAGCCCAGGCGGGTCGTGTGGGAGGCAACCAGTCGATGTGGCTCTCTCACATGGATGTTTCCCTCTCTCCCTCCCCCTTTCTCCCTCTCTCCCACTCTATCTGATGATAAATGTAAAAATATCCTCTGGTGAGGATTAAAAATCAAACCAACAATGAAGAAGCGAAGGTATGTTCCTGTCTCCGTCTAAAACCCACTGTCCAACAGAAATGTGAGCCACACAGACCATTTACAAGTTTCTATTACCCACAGTAAAAAAAAGGGGGGGGGGTAAAAAAAACAGGTGAAGTTTATATTAGTATTATCTGTTATTTAACACTATATTTTAAATGTGATTTCAACATGTAATCAATATAAAAATAGTAATTTTATATTGTGGCTAATGAGACTGAGGAATTGGCATTTTTTATTTCATTTCATTTCTGTGACTTTCAGTAACACGTGCGGCTAGAGGCTGTCTACTAGGCAGGACGCGGGTCTCAGGGTTCTTCCTCGCCTAGGCAGGACCTGCTCTCCAGGCGAGCCCCGGTGGGCTCATCCCTCTGCCTGGCCCACAGCCTGCGGTTCTGCGCCGGGACTCCAGCCAGCGCTGCGCATCTCTTCTGTCTCTTTGTGGGTGGCTGCTCCTGCCCCCCCACCAAGTGCTGGCCTTGGGATTCCTGAGCTAAACCAGCCTCCAGCCAGCCAGGAACCGCCAGCTCAGACCCCTTGCTCCCTGGGGCCCGGCACACAGCCCCCCAAGACAATCACAGACTTCATTTGTGGAGGCAGAGAAAGGACTTCCATTTCCAAGTTTCCCCAAGTAACTGCCTAAGAAAAGGGACGTCAGGGGTCTCTGGGCGGGTTTTGACTGGAGTGAACATGGAGCTGTTTGGGAGGTTCTCAGGCCAGCATGCTAAGGGGCCGGGGTCGTCCTAGGGACGTGGTCTGGGCCGATGGAAGCCACGCCGGAGCCCAGTCAGGGCCCCTGGTACGGGGGCTGCAGGGCATCGTCCATGCCCAGAGCTTGTCTCTCACCGCTGGCGCCAGGCTGTCCCAGGCACGGCCGTCCCCACCACCTCTCGGTCTGCGAGCCCAGCACAGAGCACGTCACACCCCACACCGAAGGCGGCCAACAAAGGAATGCAGAGCCCGGCGGGCTCAGGTCTCCGGTCGGAGCCCGGGCGTTGGGGCCAGAGAGCTGCTTTAAAACCCCGCTTCTCGAGCCTTTCAGACGTGAAATACTGGGGGGCCCGCAGGGCCGATGCAGCTGCACCGGGCAGCAGACTCCGGGCTGCAGCACGCAAAGCACGAGGAAGCGCCTGAGATTCGAGGGGGCACTCGCACCATCACATACTTCTGAGTAAAGACGGGCTGCACAACGTGCTCCGCTGCCATTTGTGTTGTTTTCAAAAAGGAGGGAAGGCGGATTCTCTGGACACACGGCTGGGGTGGTAGCCAGGCTTCTAGGGAGAGGGCCCGGGGCCGGGGATGAGCAGGAGTAGGCTGACTTTGCGCTATGTGTATATATTCTTTCGCACTGTTAAAATGTTTTACCTTTTTTAAAAAAGTGAAGTAATAAAATTCCCGCCAGCAACCTGTTTCGTGGGTGGTTGGGGTGGGTGGTCCAGGCAGGTGGAGCCCTTCCAGCCTCACAGAAGGAACCAAGTTGAATATCCACATGAAAGAGCAGGAAAGACCTTCTAATGAGCTACCTCTCCGGAAGAAGTCAATGAAAACGTACGCCAGCGGCTGGCGGGAGCCTGGGACCTACGCGGCGGCTCTTGACAGGACTCACTGAAAGAAGGGCTGAACCAAGCAGAACGTGAGCGGGCCGGGCACCCCCCCGAGGGCCATGCGGGTGCCCCGAAGTGGAGGACTCAATTTAGGGAAATGAAGCCTAGTTTACCGTCCGTGGGGCTGAGGGAAAGAACAGAAAGACTCACCTGTCTGGCTGTAACGGAGCGGGTAGCCTGGCCGTCGCGAACGCATCCCTGGGCAGCAAGGAGAGGCGGTCCCAGCTGTCGTCCGCAGGCCATGGAAAGCGGGGCCGGGAGAGCGGAAAACGTCGTCCCTAACTGACCCACTGTTGGAAAACAACTGGTAGTTCTTGTTTATTTATGTCAAGGACCAGTGACTGAGTCATCCTGGAAATAAGTCTTAATGGAAATATGACAGTAGAGAGAAAGAAAGTTAGACTCAGGGCAAAGCTGTACAGGAGGCTAAGTACCCTGCCTGATTTCGAACTGCCCACACCTGCCAGCCCACCTGGCACCTGTCCCTCCCCCATTCACCCTGCCCCAACCCCTCCTGGCTGGGACTGCCCAGAGAGCGCGTCCAGGTGTCATCCTGGCCTTGAGCTGTGCCCCATCTTCGTCTTCACTCCCAGCCCTCTAGGTAAGAGCCCCTTCCAACAGGGTGCTCCCAGCCAGCTCTGAGGAGGGAGGTCATCTGATACGCGAATCTACTACTCCGCCCGGTGCGTCTAGCTGTGCCGTGCCGGTGAAAGCGGCTTTCTCGTGGGTCGTCAGGAGGAGTCAATGAGACAAGAAAGAAAGGCTCCTGAGCCCTCTCTGGAGCCCACGAGTGTGGCTGCTGTCCCTGTCCCCGTCCCTGTCCCTGAGGAGCCTGCAAAGCCAGTTGCTCCTGACAGCATTTCAGACGTGAGGGGCCCGGAGCTCGGCCCCCAAGCCGGAGTCTGCACCCCAGGCCAGCCCTGCCTGGAGCCGACGCGAGTGGGCAGCCCTGGGCAGGCTCCCGAGGCTGGGTTGCTTGCTCAGATCTCAGCCATCCCCTGGAGAAGCACAAACGCTCTGGGGGCTCTACCGTTTCCTCCAATGTCCCCTCACAAAATTGTGTGCTTTGACAATGAGACTCATGAAGAGTCTCAAGCTCTCACCATGGCCCGCAGGCCTTGGATGTTGAGTTTTCACGGGAAGTTTTACTCCCGGTCTCGTGGATCCCCTCAACCACGCTGGTGCCACCAGGAAGGCGGGGCTGTGCCCACTGCACTGGTCTGCTCGGGCACCACACCGCACGGACGGACCGGCTTCAGCAACAGAGGTGTATGTTCTCACGGCCCCGGAGGCGAGAGGTCTGGCTCGAGGTGCCGTAGGGCTGCTTCTCTGAGGCTCCCCTTTGGGCTTATAGGTGGCTGCCTCCTCCTGTCTTCACACCTTCCCTTGACCTGGGTCCGAATTTCCTCTCCTTGTAAGGACACCTTGTGGCATCATTGTGACTGAATGACTTCTTCAAAGACCCTATCTCCAAACATGGTCATATTCTGAGGCGCTGCGGGTTGGGACTTCAACAGTGAAATTTGGGGGACACCGCTCAGCCCATCACACCCATTTTATAGACAAAGACACTGAGGCCCACAGAGAGTATGTTCCTCGCTGAGTTAGCGTCCCAGCCAGGATGAAGTCAGCACTATGTCCACCCCCAGTGCCAGCCCTGCCTCGGGCCCCGGGCCCCTCAGGGTGGACGGGTCTGCAGGGACCGAGTGCCCGGCAGGCTGCTGTACCAGCAGCGGCCGTTCTCTGCACACGCCGCCTCTGCCTCCTCCCCTCGGCCTCCTCTCGTGTCCAGGAGACTGTCAGAAGCAGTGCTTGGTCCTCACCCAGGCTCGCTGCCACTGGAACCGGCTGGGACACCAGGCTGGGCGGCTTCGGCTCGTCAGGCCTTTCAGAACTGGGGCTTGAACGTTGAAAGGCTTGGCAGCCACCCAGGGATTTCCGTGTTTCTCTCTCAGTGATTTTAATGCTCAGAAAAATGTGCTGAGCGGTTGGCCCTTGAGGCAGAATGTCTGTCTGAGCAGCACGTTTGGGAGGGGGCAGCCCATGGTGGGGGGAGGCCCCCTAAAACACACGCCCATGTCAGTTCTCGCCACGGACTCCGGCCTGGGATCCGTGTCCCCTGCAGGGTGACCTGACCACCTCCACCGTCAGCTACTTCCCCGGCTACTGGAAGGAGGTGGGAGGCCATGCCCCTGGGAGGGAAACCCAGTGCCAACCCCGCGGGCTCTGCGTCTGCCTGTGAGGCACACACCTGCCAGCCGGGCAGACCCTCTGGTGGGTGGACAGAGCCGGGTCATTCGCTTGCTGCCTGGAGGGAGAAGCGCTCGGAGAACCCGGGACATCTCCGGAAGAGGGAGCTGGGCATCTGGGCTTGCGCTGGGGGGCGTGGGGAGAGTCGAAGAGCAAGGCCCTGTTCTGCGTGTGATGCTGTCAGGAATGTGGGGTGTCTCACAGACCTCCTCCAGGAGACAGAACGGAGCAGGCTCCGAGCTGCCCTTGAAAACAGCCGGCGCTCGTCAGCTTGGTGGCTGCTCGAGGATCGGGGACTTTTTGTGGTTGCAGAGTGTCCTTGCCTCTGTTCA